TATGTTCGTATTGTTCGCAGTATGCAAGCGCCATTAAACGATGCACTCTAATGCTGTAAAAAATTAGGAGCATACGCGTTCCACACTTCTTTGTCTATCGTTCAGTTTCAGGCTTATCGTCAAATTCCAGAGTTTGTTTACAGCTAGCACTGAGAAATCACTACTCTGGAATCTCATGGATTGCTTTAGTTGTATGAAGTGTCAGAAGGCAGTGAAAATTTACTAGTAGTGGAACAGATCAATTGAAAGCAAGCAAATGTTAATAAATACATTCAAAACTTCATTTAAAAACGTTGCGTATTTCCACAGCCACACACAGGTCTCCCATGAAAAGGTCAAAGAAACATTTTTTATGACTGACGAGTTATCAAGATTAAACTGTGGACGCATAAAAGTAAGAGCAAGCGTTATTTATGTCAGGAAAATTTAAATTACACTGCTTCCGTCCCAGCTACCAGGACAAATCCTCAAACGGAAATGAAAAGAAAAACAGATTAACCAATACGCACATTCATTGTTGTATAGTTGAAAGTGATAAACTATTGTAAAAGAAGAGTTGAGTTTGCATAGGAAAATTTACGAATTTTCCCTGTAGAGGGTAGGACAAAAACAGTTCCTTGCATTGCTTCTGAAACACCGGACGTGACTGATCTGTTATTCAAAGGTTTCTAAGGACTTTTGCGTGTTTTGAGTGTGAGCTTTGATGGCATATGCAAGTTGATGGTAGAAATGGTCACAACCACATGAAAATCTCCCTGTTTAGGTACGGTGTGAAATGTGAAAGGCGTCGACTAAAAAGATGCAACAAAAACGAATGGGAAAACTAACTAGGGAAATAGGAACGCAAGCTACTGCTCACTAAAACACAACACAAATAGCATCGCTTTAATCAATCCTCAAGTCTCATGTAGATTTTAGATTATTGATAGGTGAGGAATCTGATGTACTTGAGATTCGAGCTCATGACAGTAACTGCGAAACAAAGGCCTTCACCACGTGATTTACTGGACTCGGGCAAACAGCCAATAATGTAATCCCCTGTTAATTAAGGGAAGCTGCTAGACATCTGCTAGATTCCAGATTGGTTGGTAAAAAGCTTCAAATTTGCGCAGTCAACTAATCATATCAGAATTAGTGGATTCTATATGTTGCAGTAGGCCGAGCGAAGACGTCAGTGCTTAGTGCCATCGTACAATTCGGCTGGATTAGTGTACACAACTCTTGTGCGATCAGAGGAATCATCATTCAGATCTGGAGATTTATGATCAGAATACGTGTTAACGAGATGCAAATTAAGTACGAGAGCCAAATTATGTTCCGACGTACTGTTTAAAAATGAAAAGCAGTTATGCTCGGAATTGCACATGACCAAATGGATTTGCTTACTTTATATAAATATGTATTAATAATATATCCATATTATTTAAAATATAGAGGCGTAACTAAATGAGGCATTCTTACGCTGTAAAAAATTAGGAGCATGCTTATTTCACAATATTTTAAATTCCCCCTGTCTATCACCCAGTTTCAGGCTTATCATAAAACCAGAGCTTGTTTACATCTTCTGGCCTGGAAAGGTTACCACAAGTCCCATGAATCTTTTTTATTATTGATGAGAAATGTCAGAAGGCAGTGACAGCTTAGTTGTAGTAGAATGAAATCCATTGACATCCATTTTAATAACAAATTTTTCAATCTGATTAAAAAAACCTGGCGTATTTTCATTGCTACACACAGATTTGCCATAAAAAGGTCAAACTAAACATTCTACAGCAAGTAGAGTGTGACTATGACCGACGGGTTATCAACAATAAGCTGTGGACGCATCAAAGTAAAATCAAGCGTTAGTAATGTCAGGGAAATCTAAATTTTATTGCTTCCGTTCCAGCTACCAGGACAAATCTTCAAATGGAAATGAAAAAAAAACAGATTAACCAATACGCACATTTATTGTTGCATAGTTGAAAATGATAAACTTTTGTTCAAAAACAGTTGATTTTGTGTGGGAAAATTTCTGATTTGTCCCTGTAGAGGGTAGGATAAAAACCATCTCTTGCATTGCTTGTGAAACATCGAAGTTACTGATCTGTTAGGCAACCTTTTTAAGGATCTTTTATGTGTTTAAAATATGAACTTTGAAGGCATATGCAACCTCATAATAAAAAGGGTCACAACCACATGAAAATTTCCCCTTTTTCGGTATGGTACAGAAACGCAAAAGGCGTCGACTCTAATAATGCAACAGAAACAAAGGGAAAACTAACTAGGGCAATCTGAGCGCAAGTTGTAGCTTACTAAACCCTAACTCCAGCCCGACCAGCAGCAACAGACACCTCGACCTTAATTCACATTACGAAGGCCTGCGTGCACGGCCCACTGACTCGCATCCATAGCAATCGTTTATTAATACACGGCCGAGTGGCAATGCACTGATGCAGCATAACCCCGAGGCGTGAGCCTTATCTGACCTTCAACACTAAACGTGACATGTTTATCCTCCTCCCTGGCGTGAACGGCTGGCTACCCTCATCCCCTCACCAAACGCTCTAGTTCGAAAATTCTACTGCCCACTTTTCCTTTCGTCTGAGGACACGTCGGTCTTATCTGCTTAAAAATGCACGAATACAAATTCATTTGTCGAAGACGCAACACAAATAGGATCGCTCAGATCAGCCACCAGACGTTTCAATAATATATGTTTCAAGTGGGTTTCAATGACACCTTCTGAGGTTATGTTAACTTGAACTGTATTACTGTATGTGTGAGAAGGTGAACAGGAGGACTTTACTACAGTCTGTTTTGTTTCGGTTTCAGGACCTGTAGTGCCTCATCTACTGAACTGTTTTCAAATCCATTAGGTCCTCGCGTTTAAACTGGTATTACCCGTTAAGTTTTATCTAGCTCTTATTCTGTAACTAGGAAAGTTCTAGTTAGTCCAAAAGATGGCAAAAACAGCCAAATTTATTGGATCCATGAAACTTCGAGAGAGCTCTTCAGTTGCTCCCTCTCGTTGCGTAACGTTAAGCACGTAAAAGTAAATACAAATTGAATTCATACAGAAAAATCAATGCAAACAACAAGGTCATAGGAAATGGCCAAGTGGCTAATCAGTAATGTAAGAAAATTAAGATGCTATGGGCAGCAAAAACGGGGTAAAAGACGCCTAAGGTATGAATTTGGGAGGACATCCAACTCAGTTTATAGACAAGTATAGTAAACCCCTACGGCCTAAAATGACTCAGCAGTTAACACCTAAAAAGCCTGTATTCATTTTCTTGCCCTTTAAGGGCGATAATATTCTGAATACTATCAAGAGACGCCTTCTCAACGCCACTGAAAGGACTTACTATGCTGTCGAACTCATAATTTGCAATTCGAAGAAGCCCTTACCAATTCTTTATGCGAAGGATGCCTTGCCGTTGCACGCCACTTCAAACTGTGCTTACGAATTTACATGCACTTGCGGATGCCAGTACATAGGGCGAACGCAACGGCCATTGGCCGCCAAAGCTAAGGAGTATTTACCTAGTTGTTTGCTGAAACAAGAAAACAGAAATCCCCGTTCATCGATTTCTGATTATCTGCTAGACACGGGCCATTCTGTTGACCCCAAAACTTCTTTCCGAGTACTTGTTTGGGCACGAACAGCTCGTACCTTATGCTAGCTGGAGGTAGCCTACATACGGCGGTCCAAACCCGACCTATGTTAACAGCTGGAGCATGTAGTGAACCTAAGTCTGCCGTGGTAAAATTGGCTCCCTGTTTACACATTTTCCCCTCCCAACTTCTTACATTAGACGTCTTTTCCCCCGTTTTTTCTGCCCATAGTGTTTTAACTTTCTTAACTTATTGATTAGCCTCTTGGCTATTTCTTATGACCTTGTTGGTTGTATCGATTTTTCGGCATGAATTCAATTT